TCTTTCTGAGTTTTATTTCAGCAGCACCATTGCTGCATATATAAAAATACTTTAATACACAAATTTTGAAGTAAACTGCTACATTTAGATATTCCTGTTCATTAAGCTAGTGCCATAAGAAAAGCCTATAAAGAAAAGCCTTTGAATTAACATCCCTCACAGGGCGCACCTGGTACAGCTGGCGTCGCTAAGTTCTTGATTCAGGAGTCAAAAACTCAATTTAAAAATCGAATATTTAAGTGAATCGTTTTTTTCCCCCATCCCTAGTCCTACACACACACACACACACTGCAATCTGTTGTCATTAATGTGCCTTGCCCCACACTGCTCAGAGGAGCCTTATTCTCTTTCAGCCTCTGGTACATTAGCATGACTCTGTCTTTCTCACAGCACAATAAGCTGAGAGAAGCAGAAAGGGAGGGAGAGATGATTCTGACAGACAGAGAGTAGAGAAAGACAAGAGAGAAAGGGCCACTGTGTCTCTGACGCATTTTCTGAAACACACACACACACACACACACATACATACATACAATTTCAAAAGATGTGTGCTGGGGAACAAGCAGAGAGCGTAGCATCAAAAAACTGCAAGAGCTAGCAGGAAAGAGGGAACAACATGGTGACAAAGACATAAACAGGAGAAAAATAGGGCAAGACTGTCTTTGTAAATCTGAGAAGAAAAACTAAAAAGATTACAGTCCCACCAAATGACCAGTATGGAAACAAAAAGATTATGACCTAAGCAAAACGCAGGGGAGAGTGAAACAGCAGATGACAGTGTTAAAGGAAGGACAAGCAGAGAGAATTTATAACGTGAGGGAGGATGATTGCACTGTGGCCTTGAAACGTCTTTGTAACAAAAAGAGACTTTTAACTGAGCGCTCTCCCCTCCAGTCCTCGCCACGCTCTCAGCCTCCACACGAGCATCCTATTAGGGGATAATTTCATGGAAGAGCAAAAAGATACACCACCATTAAAGCACTGTTAGCCATGTGATCAATACTGATAAAAATTACTATAATTCCACATGCGTTTGCTTTCTTGGATGATCATATTTCCCACTGGACCATAGCTGGAAATCAATAGGAAGGGGGCTCATTCGCTCTATATTAGCAGCATTCATCATAATAAAACCTCCACTGTTGACGGGTGTGGATGTCAAAGTCATACCCACAGGAGCCTGATTTGATTGGCTCTCCATGCTTTCATAACAACTAATTACCATATTACAGAGCAGGAAATGGGTGATGTGTGCCACTGTTTTTTCTGTATGAGTGTGTTTTGTATGTCTGCCTCTGCCTCCATGTGCACCTGTCTATGGTATTTAATTCAACACATAATTTGACGGCATCCAAGCTCGATCCGTGGAACAGGGCTGCAGACCCGTAATTAAAAGCCGGTATAGCTGCAAGCTTACGGTGTGTGTCTGCTTTTACACTTCATCACCTTTATCAGCACTAGCATCCCGCTTTGTGACTGAACATGATTAAATTAATAAATCACAGCTTGGCCATCCAGTTTACACGGGTAAAAATACTGTGTTATTTACTATCATGTGTCACATACAAGTGAAACACGCAGATTGCTCATGGGTTCCCTGTTTAAAGAGGAAACAAATAAACTGATTGAAGCTGATATATCCAACATGCGAAGAACATATACAATGATGTAGAGTTAGTTAGTTAGTTAGCGAAGCTCTTTTCAGACCTGCAATATGTAACATTGCTGGATACTCGCATAGGTTTCAGTTACATATGTTCTGTATTGGCTTTGTTCAAACATGACAGGACTTTTGCAGAAAACGCAACAACACCTGCTTGTGTTGGCTTGCCTCACTTCTTACAGTGAATCCAAAAAAGACAACTTCTCATAAACTTCATAATTAGACAGAGGTGCAACTGATTTTATGTATTATGTAAAGATGGATTCTTGTAGAGTATAGCTATAAATGTGGTGCTTTTGTTTTCTACAGGCATTTTTAGATGCAAAACCTCTATGAGTTAAAGATGAAACTCACTTACAGGATCACAATCTCGCTGCAACACGTTCATCAGAATGAGGCAGTAACTAAAAGGCAGCAAGGATGAGATGGAAAGATGAAAGCCTAGTTATTGTTCACTCATTGTGTCGTCCCAGTCAAAGTGTGTGAAATCTGGAATCGGCCACTTCCTTCTTAAATTATGGCTAAAAAAGTGTCACAAATTCATTTTTTTGTCTAACTGTTATTGAATGAGTTGACATGTTGATTATGAGGGATAATGAGCAAGGAACATATGACCATGTGTCAAACTGCCAAGCTTTTTAGAAGCAAATAGATCTGACGCTGATGCCTCCCTATTAAACTAAAGCATTGCAAATAGATTTCCTTGTAGGCACTAAGCTTTCAGAAGCTCTAACTGCACATAATCTTCTTTTCTGAGCACTTTAGACAAAATAGATGTCTAAATGCTATCAATTACTTACATTTAGGTGTTTGTTTTTTCTCAACTTGAGAAGTAATTTTATTAAAACCTGTTTTAACATCAGTGAAATTAGCCAAAACACAATCGGCCACTTTGTTCTTAAATTATGGATAAAAACTTATTTTGAGGCCACAATGACGTTTGAGTCAAAAGTGTCACTAATTCATTGTCCGATCAATTGCGAAATGTGGTAATCAATTCTTGAATTATGGCCAAAAATGTGTTAACAAGAATGAACCTGAACACAGAATGCCTCCGGCCACGGCTATCTGTGGCACAGAGGAATGCAAAATAATAAAGCTCTTTTGCTATAAGCCTAATTTTAAGCTTTTCATTTCTATTTTTTTCCCAAAATGTGTCAAATGAATAGCCGATATTCACCATCTTACTCAAAAATATACTTTAGAGCAGGCTAATTGAAAGCAAAATGGAAATTATGTCACAGGGGTGGCACATTGACAAATCTGCTTTGAGTTATACATTTTTCTAATGATTGCATGGTGAGTAAAAAATAAATGTTTCAAAGCCTTACACCAAACCACAAAGTCTTCTGATCTGGGTTCACGCTCGCAAGCTGTTAGCACAAGCGATCAGTCCTTGTCCTACTTTCTCTCAGTGAGGTAGGTGGATAGAGAGGCAGGGGAACCAGGCGATGCGTCATAACTGCTGTTTAGAGTGAGTCTCTATGTCCCAAAAGTGGGCTAAAACATGCTTCAAATAAATCAGTGGCTCATTAAGGACTCAGTCTCTACAACCAAGCCCTCCAGGGGGATTACAGCAGTACTGTGCCTTATCTAGCAGACTAATATCTCACATGCTGTGCCTTATCCTCAGAGAGGGGTGGCAGGCTAAAGTTACTGCACCACAAGAAGATGAAGTATAATTACTTCAAACTTCAGGCTTTAGGGGCAGGATTTAGCTCTGCCATTGCATGGCGAAGTCACACCGATGGGGTTGAGGCTCTTTGTGCATCTGTGTATATGTGCAGCTGTGAAAATTCCCATTACTTAGTCATAGAATCTCAGTGCCGCTGTAATCTAGTCCCACTAACAGGATTCCTCAAAGGTTTCACGCCAGCTTTGAAATGCAAAATCTAAAAGGTTATTAATATGGAATTACAATTACACCAGAAAATAGATTAACCAATGAAATATTCAGGAGGAGCTGCTCTCACGTCTCCCCACGCTGGTAAATTGATTTTCAGGGTCAAATCACACATCCTACCTATGAGCATTGAGCGTCCATCTCCGAGAGGGTAGCGCTGGTAGCGTGGTACAGCAAATGGTGGCAACTTGTGGAAGAGAGGCTGCAGCAGCGGCTCCAGTCTAGAGGCTGAAGGGTCCGAGGGGTAAAACAGGTTGAAAATCTGAGAGCAGGCTGGATGGAGCTGGCTCACTAAGGGTCAGAAAACACAATGGACACGCAAAGCCATTAGGAAGAGCAATATTTGACAGAGTGGGATTTGGAAGCCCCATAAACAGGGGTTCAAAAAAAGAGAAAAAAACGTGTTTCTTATCAGAAGCTCATTTTCTCCCTGTATGTAAGAGTGTAAGCATATTCTGAGCAGTGCTCGCCATCAGAGTACCTTGTTTGCAGTGAACTACATTTAACAGTGGAGCAGGAAAAGAAATACTTTTCTTTTCTCCTTGGGGCAGGGAACACAACAACCTTTGGAGAGCAGAGGAAAAATTGGCTCAAACAGATCTGATCCTTTTGTAAATGGTGAGTATTTTCACAGGGAAAAAATGAGTAAACAGATGAGATCAATCGATCAAACTCTAATGTCAAGTGCTATATAGTTGACAAGCTAATAATAAAAAAACAACAAAACAGTAAAACAATTGGAGATAAGTTAATAACAATTGGCATACATAAGTAAGGGTGTGATGTGTGTGTTTCAAGGGCACATACTTCAGTTGATGCATGTAAGAATGAAAAATATCATTTGCTAATATGCTTTGCATGTGTCTGATTCTTACCTTGGACAGCAGGCAGCACAGTGCGTCTCATGGCCAGTACAAGGCCCAGCGGACAGCCCAGCAGATAGCAGTCTGACACCTCAAAGTCGAATCGGCCGGGGTTCAACACCAAGCTGGTGCTACTGCCACCACGCACCTCCACACTCTCCTTCATCAAACTGGGGAACAGACATGGCCACAAAATATAGAATGTTATCTTAGCCCATTGCAACTGTTTTTTTTATTTGTTATGTTAATAAATGGACTGGGCGCAGGCATGTGAGGATTTTGTAAAAGTGATTTATTCAGCAATAACATGAGGATCAGGTACTAAGCATTCAAATACATAACTGAAACACAGATTATGCTGCAGGCATCACTTTTAAAAGCTGTTTATCATAAAAATTAAGAACAAAAGCCTGTAAATGTTGCTTCAGGTAAGAAATGAATACAAAATATATAATTTTGGGGGGTAACACTTTGTTTCAACCATATTCATTGGCCAGTATTAATAACAGAGTACCTTTAACTTGATGTCAAACTAAAGGTGACATTATTTTAAGAGGAAAGCAAGAGTAAGCTGAAATTTTAAATGTCAATAATGTTCATGCTGAGATTGGGAAGGTGTGTGTCTCAGAGGATGTCAGTCATGCTTTTGCTTTGTCCTGACTCAATAGTTGGCTAGTTTTAACATTCTGGGGTCGGTGTCGGCGCCGGGCCTTTATGACTCAGCCTGAGCAGCTCTTCACTCAGCCCTCACAGGCTGCATCATGCTTACAGCTGTTTGAACAGCAGTGCTGGTCTCAGCCGCAACCCTCTGCCGACTGACGAGATCTCTCTGCTCTCTAGCGAGCCAACATTTCCCATTAAATCCAGCTCGGGGAGAACGGATTAGCTAACAATCTCCAGCCATCTTTAAAAGCCAAATCAATAGTGCTTTGATTGCCTTCCGCTTCCATTTTGGTTATTGTCTTGTCTCTCGTTATGTGTTCACTCTTTTACTTCTTCCTACCATGCCCTCAAGAAACTGTCAGTCTGTCTGTTTGTCTGCAGCTGAAGAGACAGTCAGTGAACCACTGGGACATTATTTATTGCATGAACATTACATACTGAGCAGGGAAGAGGACGACTACATGTTCTCTACTTCTGCAAATAGACTCAAGTCCCATGTTGACATGTGAAATTTATTTCAACAAAAATCAAAGCTCTAAGCAAGCATACTTTTCATGCACATAAAATGTTGCCTGTTGGTGCAGAAAGTGTTATTTTTGCTGCCTGGATGGGCTTAATTTCCCTTTTTGCAGCTAAAGCACTTGTCATTTCACTGAACATTGTTACTAATATGTTAAATAAATATGACAAACATTGACTAACTGTCATTGACATTTTTTTAATAATGAGCAAAGAACATATCACCATGTGTCAAACTGTCAGGTTTTTTAGCAACAAATAGATCTGATGCTGATGCCTCCCTGTTAAACTGAAGCATTGCAGATAGGTTTACTTATGGGCACTAACTAAGCCTTTCAGTAACTCTAACTGCACATAATCTTTTTTTTTTCTGAGCACTTTAGACAAAATAGATGTCTAAATGCTGTCAAATATGTCGATTTAGGTGTTTGTTTTTTCTCAACTTCAGAAACTAGTTTTATTACAACCCCTTTAAACATCAGTGAGCCAAAACACACATTTCTAACAAAGATAGATTGGGGGGTAAATTAGACAGAAGTAAAGAAAAAATGGTAAACATATTAAAAATCTGTACCACTGCTTTCTGCACTGACGGCACCCTCCTGGGTTTTCATAATGGCAGTGGTACTGTATGACCATTTGCACATGATCTCACAAGCAATTCCCAGTCAGGGCTAAGTAAAGTGCATGTGGAAACATCTGAAATGGGGTGAACCAGAGGTAGAGAGTCATCCGAGAGGCCATTCTAATAGGAGGGATCATATCTGGGCAAAGCAGCTTTAATAAGCCCTCCTGGTCACTGGGAATGTCCACTGGGAGATGCAAGGGAAAAGGGCACATCCAGGAGCAGAGGTTACCCTCCGCACAGCGAAGCCTGGGCTTAATCAGGAGTGTAACAGGAAGTGAAATGTGAGAGGTGCAGTGCTTTGAAGACAATGTGGGATAAGTGTGAAATGATGGGAGCCTCTCCTCAGAGTCTGTGTTACTCTGATGATGTAAGCTTAGTGGAGCATGTGATTTGGAATGGGAACACTGGTTGCCTGAAGTGAGTCGACATGGCAGTCGTACCCCCTCCAGCCACCCAGACAACGCTAAATTCAACCGCTCTCACACAAACTGGCTGGCACAGGCTCAAACAGGCTATTTATAGTCCAGCAGAGGCAGGTAGGCAGGCTGGGCAGTCAAGCTGCAAATATTGATAAAGAGCAAGAGCGAGACAGGGTGACACATTCCAGGAAAACCTGGATGAGGGCCGGCGTGCAACATCTGGGTCAATATATGAAGCCCTAACACACTCATCACTTGTCGACATAGCTGTTTGACAGAAATGGATGACATCATTTTTGTGTGACCAAAGTTTTGTTATATATGAAAATGGCTAATTATTAAATTATCCAAATGTTGTTTTTACATTTGCATTATATATATCTCAATGGTTTTGTCAAATCTGTGCAAATTTGAATGCTTAATTCTTATATTATCTATTGCACAAAACACTACACCATCTTTCCAGATTGACCAATAGTAGCAGATGGCCGACTATGTATTTGATTGTATGTGTGCACAGTTTGTTTATAAGCCTCCTTCATGCACCAACCACTGTTGGTGAAGAAGAAGCAGTCAGATTGAGATTGTAATAATAATAATAATACATTTTATTTATAAGCGCTTTTCTGGATACTCA